CAAATAGATTTGCTGCCAAATGAGCCAGAGCTAAGTTTGAATCCCTTATTGATGAAATGCCAAACGCAATGAAGATTAATTACTGATGAATCACTCAAAGACCAAATGGATGAACCCCTCTCTGGCCTTTCTTGATTATCTCTCGTTATCCCTGCATTCCCCTCCATCTCTGTGCCACTCGTGGCCTTAATCTCCCAGGCCCCGCGTCGCCGCCCACTCACTCATTACTACTTAGTGCAACGGTATTATCACGGGTGAGGCTGGGGTTTTAGACTGGACTGACGCTGTCTCCTGGAGATTTCACACCTATTTTTGTTAAAAGAAGCTGAGGCAGATAAAATATGACAAAGTGATGTATGAGTGTGTGAGATTAGGTAAACACACGTTCACTCGTACTGTTTCCCATAAATAGCCTTTGGCCTTTTATGTGTTTCTTCAATTATGTGTAACATTCGATTTTTTTTGGTCCAAAATAGTGAAAAATTACAGTAGTTTGTCTCCACAATTTCAGGTTTGACAGTAAACATTTGATTTAGTCTTAGTTTTATGACAAAGTTGTGACTTGTCAGAATGGTCAATGGAACTGTTTTGATTTTAGTTTAATGTCAAGAATAAAGTAGACTAAAATATAATGTGTATTGATTGAGCTTCTAATAAGAAACTGTTTTATTGAAAGCTGTAATTAATCAGATCTTGTTGTAATTAATTGAAAATATTTTAAATATTATTATTATTGTTCTTGTTGTTGTTATTATAATCTTACAACTGATTTTACAGTATTACATTATTCTTTAACATATTGAAGAAATACATAATAGTAATAACTAAAAGCCAACAAGCATTAGCAGTTAGCTAAGTCTGCACTGAAAATGTCAACAAAATGAACACAGGTGCTGTGAACCAACTGTCAGAGCCAAAGTTGGACTTCATCCAGTTGTCTAAGAATTCTTTGCCTTCTGTTCATTTTTATTCACATGAATGAATGAATTACACAGAGTTGATGAATGTTGTTTTAACAAACCACCAAACGTGTCTTCACTGATGTAACTTTTCTCCTCAGGGCGACAGCAAGCGCATGGAAGACGTCAACTCTTACTTGTCACTTCCCTCAACCCGCCCCCAGCATGGAGACAATCACAAGATGGCAGCACTGAGCCGCAGCGCCAGCTCCGTGTCTGGAGGTGGAGGAGGCCTGTCAGTTAGCTCAAGAGACAGCTTCAGCATCTCCACCCTGGTCTGCTCCACCAAGCTCACACAGAACGGTACGTCTGTGTGTGTGTGTGTGTGAGTGAGTGTGTGTGTGTGAGTGTGTGTGTGTGTGAGGTGAGGTGAGCTGCTGCTGAGATCTTCTGTTCACTTTAATCTCCAGCTGTGGTTTTGTAGATCAAAACATTTTTATTGTCAAACACGAACGTGAAGAAANTTTCCTCCGACACAGTAATGAGATGGGGATGAGACAATAAATCATTGGCCAGGTGTGAAACTGGGAAAGGACAAAAGCAGTCTCCAGAAGTCTATTTGAGCTGGAAATCACGCCTGATTCTGTCTGCAAATTGCATCATCAATTCTTGGACTTTATTTTCGGGGGAAATTACCATAATCATTCCAGGAAACCGAGATTGTTGATGAAATACAGGAAGCATTTCTTTGTCATTGTGGCAGGATCAATAAAGGCAGAGTAGAGGCTCCTGGGGGAAGTGCATCTGAGAAAGGACTGGCCGCCAAATAATGACACCGCACACACACTTGTTTACTGTCATCAATGTGTGGACTGATTATTTACATCTGATGCAGTCAAAAAAACCAGGATACATTATAAACATCATTTAGTCTGATTCATAATATAGAACATTGTTTCCCATACGCTGGGTCGGGACCCTCAGGTGGGTCGCAAGAGTTTTCTTTTTTTCGGTCGTCTTGCGTCACGTTTTCACAAGAGTTTAAGAATAATGTCTGTTGACTTGGGTTGCGATGGTTTGTGAGCTTTAAAATATGGGTCCCTAGAAAAAAAGTTTGGGAAACACTGATGTAGATCATAGTTTAGGAGGGATTTGTTAAGAGTTTATGAGCAGAAATGTAAATCATCTTCATTTTTAGTTTTACACCTGGAAGTGGAACCAAAGTTAAATTAAACCTAGTCGGATGACTTTCAATAAAACTGTCTTTCAATAACTCATCTAAACGACCCTCGGGACCTACGACAGGTATTCATTTACTTAGCCACACATTGTTTCCCATTTTGTTTTCATTAAGTCTGAGTTTTAGAAAAAAACAGCAGAAGAGAAGATCTTTGATGAGAATTACAAGTCAACAAAATGAAAACCGAAAACAAGGTGAATAATAATAATAATAATAATAATAATAATAATAGTTATAATAATTTAATTATATTTCAATAATTATTAAGTATTGATTTTAAATTCAGAGTAGAAAGAATTAAACAAAATTGTTTTAATTAAAAAAAATCAATGTTTTGTGATACATTATTTGTTCACCTAAAATCCTCTAATTGTATTTGGAAACGTATGCTTCATAAATGTCAACTCAGTATAAACGCTGCAGGAGTGTGTGCTGAGGACGTTTAGAGAGACAGACTCGGAGAGAATGCCCACGGCTGCTGACACTTAGTCACTTCCTGTGCTACTCAAAAATAAATATATAAATAAAAGAGACCGTGCTGTGAAGTGTAGTCATATACTGTTATGTATGTCATCTTTGAAATGATCTCATCTGTCCTAGAACTTTCTGACTTGGCCTTGCTTGTAGTCTAACTCAGGGGTTCCCAACCCCTGGTCTGGGGACCGGTGACGGTCCGTAGGTCATTTGGTTCTGGGGCTCAGTGGGACACAGTGAAAAAATGTACTTCAGTTTAACTAATTTACTTCATTCAAAAAGAATCCAGTCCAGTCATAGCCATTTACTTTTTAAATATAAAGACAATCTGGTAATGTTTCAAAACAAAAGGGCATTCAGACTGTGATACTAACAGAATAAAATGTTTTATTTCCTCAGTAATGGCTGGTACCAGCTGACTGGTCCTTGGGTTCCACTGATCTATCTGATCTTTTTGGTGTTGACAGAGGCAGCATTTCATTCAGAAATATGTTAATTTGAGGTTTAAGGTTCAGGGTTGAGTCAAAAAGTCAGTTTCTAGGATGTAAGGCTGGGGTATGTTCGTGTAACGGAGACATCGTAACAGCGTGTCACCAGCATTTTAATCAGCCTAATGTCGCGTGAACCGTGAATGTGTGCGAGTGTCGTTGGATGGTTAGCTACTGAAGGGCAGAACTGTTGGGCCACAGTGTTTTTATTAGTGGGGAGGGGTCGTCAATTTGTCCGACACACTCTGGAAGATAGCCGTGAACGCACACACACATGCCCACGCACACATGCACGCACGCTAAAGTGTAAAAAATGTATACACACATACAGGACACTGCAGACAGAAAACACAGGTGCCGTCCAACAGCTGTTACTGAGAAAGACAGTCCATCACTTTAATGAACATTATCCTGTGCTATTAATCACCTGTGCAACAACACACACACACACACAACGGCACATACACACACAACCACAGACCGGTTTGTTTTGGAGCAGCCCACCAGCTGAGGTTTGGCTTAGTGAGTCAAAAATTATTAGACAGGGGATCAAGTCAGGATCAAGTGGGCAGCCCCGCAGAGAAATTAGACTCTTCCTCATGTCAAACTGTGCCAGAGATAAGGTCCAGAGTTATATTTGAATATTTAGCCGATGGTCTCTGGACCGCTCTCTGACCGCAACACCAGCATCCGTCCAAATACTCACCAGCCGTTGTTTTTCAGCTGGAGATCAAAAAGTAAACACAGATGGAGTAAATATCAGGGCTGTCAGTTCATTCAACATTTTTAATTAGATTCATCACTAGGAGGCTATGGATTAATCATGATTAATCACATTTTTAATTTATCATGATTAATTGTGAATAATTAAAGTGAATTGTATTTTTTTCTGAATACTGGTGAAGCAGAAAGACAACACTGGGTCTAATGAATGTGTTTTTTATGACTGATCCAAATGATGTAATTATAAATATGGAACAATGCCAAGAAAACTACAGTATGTTAGAGTACAACATAAATACTACCACAAATATGCACCAACTAGGTACATTTTTTTCGTAGGTGATGGATATTAGTCATTACTGTTCAATGAGAGTTGTTTGGTGTAGTTGTTGTCCTCACCACTAGGGGCCAGTCTACAGTGTGGCCCACCAGTCCAATGACGTCGTCATCTCCCATAAAATTATTCATTTCATGAATTAACGCAGGCAGCACATTATGACATGGAGTTCTTCTGTAACTGCAGTTTTTCGGTGATGAATTAATTATATTAAAATTATGACACAAAATAAATGTTTTCCTGAATTTTCTGCTGACAAATGGCCCCATGTAGGGGGCAGTATATCTATCCTAAGTAAGACAGATGTGTACACAGCTGCTACAGTTAACGTTGTCCCTCTGCAGTGGGCCTGCTGGGGCTGCTGAAGTGGAGGACTCGGCCTGAGCTGCTCAGAGACAACCTGGAGAAACTGAAGATCATCGACGGGGAGGAAGTAGTCAAGGTCAGTGTGTGTGTGTGAGAATACACACAGGTGTGTGTGTGGGTGTTCTATCACTGAAGCTGTTCTTTTGTCTCGTCGTGTGAGTAGTTCCTGCAGGACACTCTGGACGCTCTCTTCAACATCATGATGGAACATTCTCAGACCGATGATTACGACATTCTGGTGTTTGACGCCTTGGTAAGAATGGACAAAAGGACAAAATGAAACGACAAATCAGTAAAGAAAATATCACAATGGGAAACATCTTAAACTGTCGGCTTTGCTGCCTCACCCCATCAACATTTACTCATTGGTTCATGTAAGGGGCACACCCCCCACATTTGGAACTACTGTATCATAAGTAGCAGTAAAAAAAAGAAAGTCCTAATATTTGTGTTGAATTAATCACTTAAGCCGAAACTTGAAAAAAAAAATTTAAACAGGTTTTTATTTAATGGAGGAGAGGAATTTTAAAAAGTTAGAAGTAAAACTTGATATGAAAAAAAGAAGAAAAAAAAACATTTATTTCAACTCAAAAACGTCAGAAGAAGAAAAAAAAAGTCCCAAAACATTTATTTCAACTCAAAAACGTCTGCCTGCAGTACTCACGTTTAAGAATTATTTTCAGAATTCTGTGGAATTTCTTTTACACCAGTTCAGTATGCACTCCCCCTCCCTCACCCCACCCGTTGTGTAGAACATTTATACAGTGATGGTAGAGTATCTATAGGGTGAGCAGTAGAGTGTAGTACTTTGAAAACACACAACATTACCTGTGTTTGTTTCTCCGTGTTCCAGATTTACATCATCGGTCTGATCGCTGACAGGAAGTTCCAGCACTTCAACACAGTGTTGGAGGCCTACATCAAGCAGCATTTTAGCGCCACGTTGGCTTACAAGTAGGTGATTTCCTGCATCATAAGCCGCTTCCATTAACCTCACGGTGAGGTACGAGCGTCCTGAAACGCACAAGACGATATTTATAGCACCATATGCAGAGTATCACGCAGCAGACCTTATATGAACTCCATAAAGACAGAGGCACCGCGCAGCTATAAGTCATTCAGGAGAAAAGTGATTTGACTTCTAATAAGTCACTCAACAAGGAGCCCTAATGTTTGGACAAGGAAAAGACAGCTGCATAAATCTGCCTCAGTAGAGTTGAATATCAATTAAACATTCACACACACTCGCCGCGACCCATAATTCATTGTTAAGTCATTTTGCTGTGGACTCCATTAAATGTCAACTCACTCGCTGAGTTACATCTGACTCTGGCTGAGATTCAGTTCAACACTGAGTCCATTTCTCTTCAAGTAATTTACCAAAAAAACCAACACCACCTTAAAAGTCGTGTTTAACCTTGTAGCAAACGGTGATATGATCTAATGCTAATGTTGGCAGAAGAGATTAATGCCTGTGTGTGTGAGTGTGTGTGTGTTGCATTTGTTCGACTTGACTGAAAAGGATTAGAGAGTGTGTGTGTTTTTTTCTCTCTGCTTGCCAAAGCTTTAAGGCTGCCTCTCTGGTGGAAAACAGCGCAGGCACTCAGCCGTCCTCTCAGACACTCCTGGCTGCTCTTTCTCTTCACTTAATTCACTTCACTTTAATTCAATGGGCACCAGAGAAAACATTTGTTTGCACTGCCAAAGCCTTAGTTAGGAAATTAAAAACATCTCCGACTCCTCCGTCTCTCAATTCCCATCCGTACGATTTCCCTGCCTCCTCATCCTCTGACTTTTCTTTTGTCCAATTACCCCTACTCCTCCCCCCCACAGCCCCCTGCGCTCCTCCTCCTCTCTGTCTCAGTTCCTTTCTTTTCCTCACTCAATCATCTGTCTCTTCAGCATCGCTCCCCCCTCCCTCCTGCTGGGTCACTGCAGCACATTGCCCATCAGCACTCAGGCAGTTATGTAAAAACTCTCTCAACTCCCCTTTGGAACTTTTTTAACTGCCCTGTGTTTCTCAAAGGGAACAAAGTGCACACACTCCAGCCCTGCACCAAAACAAAACCTGAGACGTGGAGGAAGTATTCTTCCTCAAGTTTCCCGTGATAACAAGGAAACAAGATTAAAGTTCATTTGAAGGGAGTTTGAAGAGGATCAGTTTAATTTAAGCTGCCATGTCACAAATCAAAATATTCCAACCCTCCATAAATCCACTTTGGTTGCACGGTGTGCCATTAAGTCGATGCAAAGTCAGACTGCCTGAGCAGCTGAAGGCACATCAACATGTGATGTGAAGGTTCACCTGGTGCCACCCACACTTCTCTGGCATCAAGGGAACTCTTCTGTGGCCGAAATTGCACGTGCAGTTCAAGAAGATGTTGATAAGAAAAATTAATATTTGAATCATCAATGAGCAACAATGTAGACCAGTGGTTCTCAAACTGTGGTACGCTTACCACCAGTGGTACACTAGCGCTCTCTGGTGGTACACAGGGACAAATTTTCACATTTACATTTTCAATTGAGGGGACAAATTCATATTTTCACATTTACATTTTCAATTGAATAAATCTGAAACATACCATTCACAATTAATACAACATTTGAACATAAACATCTTCATAAACATTTATAAACATCTCTCCTTTGTGCTGGAAGCTAACAGTGAAGGCCTCTGCTGCTGTATTCTAATGTTGGTCATCATGGTGGTACTCACAGAGCTCAATGTGGTACAGAGTATAAAAAGTTTGAGAACCATTGATGTAGACCAATTGATTTGTGAAATTATTTGGGATTTTTTTTTTACTTTCATCTGCCTTCTTTTCTCAACCTTTTCTACTCTAAAAGGTATGAGTCAGTGATTATCTCTCCAAACTGGTGTAAAGTCCAAAGATTTTGATCCTCCTTGTCTGATTCCTGTTTTCTCCCCACTGCTCTCGCTCTCTTGCAGAAAGCTGATGTCAGTGCTGAAGCGATATCTGGATGTGTCCAGTCGAGGTGAACAGTGTGAGCCCATCCTGCGGACCCTGAAAGCTTTGGAGTACATCTTCAAGTTCATCGTCCGTTCACGCATGCTGTACTCCCAGTGAGTGTTCGTGCGGCCCATTGTTTTCATCATGACCTCAAATTCCCTTTTCGTCCCATACCGATGTAGATACATGTCCATAATGGTGAACACACACACTCCCACACACACTCTCTCACCCACACAGGGGTAGCAGGGCCTCGGCCGGGCTGTGGTAATTGTTTCTGACAGCACTGTGAGAACTAGCTGCTGATTGCAGCACTAACGTTGCTAATAAGCCTTGATGATGAAGTGCCGCATCTAAATGAGAGCTAATGACAGGGCAGGGCTGCTGAATGGGCAGCCCACTGTACACCAGCCAACGCTCCGGCGGGAGAGGCTGATGACACCCACTGTGCCACGGCCAAACCGTACCATACGATGAGTGTCAACAGAATTTATAGCTGCAGAGCCATAGTTGAAGCTGGCAGATCAGAAAGATGATTCATAATTGAGTGTTGAGTGTCGTACCTGAGGGACCTGTCTCTCTCTCTCTCTCTCTGTGTGTTTCTCTCTCCCTCCCTCCCCCTCTGTCTCTCTTTGTGGACCACAGGAGAGAATATTTCTAATCTTATTGAAGGGCATTTCAGGCTTTGTTTTGTTTGGAATTAATCTGAATGTTTATTGATTTTGTGGTTGGGTTTTTTTTTGACAGTTACACCAGACATTTGTGGTTTTAGTAATTTATTTTGTACAAGAGCTCATACATTCCAAAGAAAACTTTATAACAATTAGTCCTGTTTCCCTGACGACATAATTTTGATGAAGCATCGTAATTATATTTTTCTACATATTTTTTAATTCCTTGTAGCTGTTTACAGACACAAATCATTTATTCATATGTTTAAACACTTTTTTTATTTCAACTGTATCTCTTATTGAATTAGACACACTACTTTTTCATAAGTGGTGAGATTGTCATCAATTTTATCCCACTGCATATTGACAATGACTGTTTTTTTTGTCATTACTTCCAACAGAAATTCTTATTTTCATCCATTTATTAGACAGTTCCAGTGCTGCCAATGCATTTGGCAATAACTGCGCAGAGACTTTTCTGAGTTAATGTGTGTAATCCATCTCTTCTCCTTTCTACAGCATCTGTCCTATTAGTTCGTCCAACAAAAGTTATAAATGTCAACAAAAACCAACCCCTGACAGTCTACACCTCAAAAGCCTTGTCATCAGAAACACCTTTGTATCGTTGGTTGTTGGCCAGCGTTGTTTTCAGAGGGCAGTGATTTCCAACCACTCTTCTGAAAAGTATTTGGAGTTTACTGCAAATAATTTGTCTTAGTTTGTCAATGTGACACCACCAAACAGAAAAAAATGCAGTACGTTTCCACTAGATGGCAGGTGGTGAGTTGAAGATCTAGGTGTTTGTTCTGTTTGGTTTGCGATCAGTTCCATAGTGTAGCGGCTAGCACGCCTGCCTTGGAAGCAGAAAGCAGAGAGGCCTGGGTTTGATTCCCAGAGGAATCACATGCTTGATGCTTGGTAAGGGCAGCCTGTTAACACCATATCTGCTGCTAATATAAAAATGTCCCAAATATGGGATCAATATATTACTTTTTGTTCTTCCATTTCTGCTAGTATATGAGTGCTGTGTTCAACTAAACGGACCCAGGTTTCACAATGAGTAATTGAATAGTGAAGAAATTGAAACTAGAAAATCTTTATTTTTCATTACTTATCAGTGACAGTTTTATTTGCTGGTGTCCCGTGGGATTTTTCCAAAGTAAAATATGAGCTTTGGCTCAAAATAGGTTAGCTTGGGTAGCACTATTCTAGTGGACCTTACTAAAAAAAAGTTACAGAGAAAGTTCTAGGGTGAAAACAGTGTTTACTCTCCTGCTCAGTTTCAGTAAGCTCCATCCTCCCCCCCCCCCCCCCCCCCCCCCGCTTGGGCTGTTTTAGAACTTGAAAAATTCCCACTGCTATTCTGTCCTAATCCATCTGTTCTGGACCACCAGCTGCACTTGACAACTCCAGCTTCCTCTCTTTCCAAAGTTCCAACATCAGGTTTCTCCTCCTGTAAGGCCCTGCCATTGTGAGACAATCAGGTATTCATGGGAGCCGCCGGCTGTGGCTGCGTCTGCAAGACTCCGTTATTATCAGCACCGCGACCTGCGGCCATTAATAATTAAGTAGGCAGTTTTGAAGATTTATTAGCCCGTCATAGCCACTTGGTGTCAGTGCAAAGTCAAAGTGCAGGAGTGTGAAGAGTTTACTTATGTAAACATGTGAGGAACGTTGTACCAGGTTGTGCTCCTTCCTTCACCTCCTTGGGTTCGTCCTTCACAGTCTGTAGCCTTCATTACTTCCCTGTGGTCAGGTTCAACAGTTGTCTGTTTTTTTCCTCTCCTGAAGCACTCGCTACTTTTTATTTTTGTTTAATTTTATCGTCCCTGTCTTCTTTAATTCTACTCTCCTTCATCTTCAATCATCACATTTTTTAACGTTTTATATCTTTTATTACACTATTTAGTTTCTCTGACAGTGTTTACCTGTGTTACCAGTGTTTCCTGCTCCTCATCAGTCAGTATACAACACTGACAGAGGTCCTGTTCCATCTTCACAAAATAGGTTTAAATCAATGGTTGATTTTGCAGTTAAATGTATGGGAGGGCGATGTCCAACGTTTTGTCTGTTGACCCACTGGTCTCTATTCAAAGATAAAACAATTAGCAGTTATCGACTCTACATATACATACAATACCATTATATTTATACATGACCAAATATCTGTCTATGTCTATGTCTGTGTAATCCTTGTAATATGTCTGTAGTACTCCTCTATACGTTTACATTTCACAGATCTAGTAAGAACAAAATATTTGGATTTATTTTTAAATATTTCAGCCTTTTTTTGTAGCATATATATCATGATGAACCATAAATAATCCAAGTATCTAGGTAAGTTGTCACCCCCAAAATAAATTATATGTATATTGATAAGTGTATTTATATATATTCACAGTATATATTTTGTATATTGTGTTTCATAATTTTTTTAATCTAAATATTGGAATTATTATTATGAAAAAAATGTCAAGAAATTATACAAAAGTGTAACCCAAATCATACATATTTACAATCTATAGATATGCAGTTTTTTGCCGTTGAGAATGGTCACGTTGGCAATATAAAAAGTGATTTGACGTTGTCTTTAACACTGGTTCCTCTCACTATTGGGGCAGAAGGTGATTTGGAACCAGCAGCAACAGCATTAAAGGCAGGGATCAATTCAAATTCAACAAGACTTGCCTCCACCATTCTGTTTTAACTTGGGAAAATAAATCACAGCACGGTGACATCTGTAAGTGGTCTGCTCAGACCAGACTTGTTCTTTTTAGCTAGCAACAACAACAACAACAACATGCTGAGCCGTCCTCCTCCTCCACCCAGCAGTTTTATTTCACTGCTCTGACTCACTTTTCCTCACCGTGGCTCCTTTGTTTCTTCTACAGAATTATTGGATCATTTTTCTACCCTTCGTTTCTGCTGTCCTGTATTACTGTCGTTGACCAATGCACTTTAACAAAGCTGAGTGACTTTTTAGCTGCTGAGCTAAGAGCTAAACCTCATTAGGAACGTGGCTTTGTTTCTTTTAGTTTTAATGTGACAACCTATCTACCGTTGACTGCTCTGTATTTTTTTAATTTGGGTCCTGAAAGTAGTTTTAAAGTAACCTTCCTCAAACACACTTACACACACTTACACACACATGCACAACATTAATGCAGCGACAGCGTTGCTGGATTAAGTAGAACAAATCAGATCCTAACGATAACATCTCCATCTCCACCTAATCCCACCTTCCCGTCCCAATGTTTGAATTCTCTCTTTGCCACAGAAATAATCCTCCCCTCCAGCTTTTATGACCTCAAACAGCCTCGCTGAATCACCCAGGGTGGGTGAGGTGGATGTGGACAGGAAATGGGTGGAGAATTGGATAAGGGGAAGAGTTTGACAGCGATAGACGTTGAATTGCAGCGATGGTAAAGAGTGAGTGTTGGTCGGTGACGTGAATAACAACAAGTGCCTATTAAAGAAGGAGGAGAATTACAGTGATCGCGGCCGGCAGTGTTCCATCACTGATTACTTTTCCTCCAGTGACTAGAACTTGTCAAATCACCGCTCTGGTTTGTTGTCGTTTGGATCAACAGGCGTTTACAGCACAGCTCTGCAATCACTTAGTGGTGTTTGCTTGGGTGTCACAGACTGCAGGTTCACATGTGAGAATTGAATATTGATCGTCAGGGCTCACAGTTGAATATCATTTGAACCACATCATGGCAACGAGTGGGTTGCGTGTCTTATTTTGAATCAAAACATAAACTATTTATTTGCTCCTTCTCCTGCTGATAGTTGAGTGAAAGTTGATGTGCAGCGTCGGAGACTTTATTATCACTGTCCGAGTATCAATTTTCATGTTGATGGACAGAGAAAACGCTGCAGGGTGATACATTTACAAAGAGAGTTTTATATTGTTTTCAGGAAAAATGGAAAATGAGATGAGATCGAAATTCACAGAACGCTCGTGGAACAAATATCCGTCCGCACATTTGTTATAGAAATCATCCGTCTTACTGTCTGTTTGACTACGCACAACACAAATTCTTATGAAATACAAAGCCTCTTATTATCATGCATGAGGATTCACGGGGTTTCACTGAGTACACGGCCCAAGGAGGGTCCACTTCCTGTCTGTTCTCCCTCCTTTCCTCTCCTCCATCCTGTCACATTAGAGTTCCTGACAATCATCGCCTGTTTTTTTTTCTCTTAAAGTCGATCTTTTCCCTCCTCTGATTTGATCCTTTTATCTCCTCTCCGTCCTCTCAGGTTGTA